CTGGCCACGCCAGCTCAGCACATAGACATCTTATATTGTTATATACAAATCTCTTACGACCAAAGAAGAGATCCTACCCATTTCTTGGTCCCTGCTATGTTCGGCACAGGACTAAGGAGGCATAGGAGGGCCGGAGTTCTCTGTGACACTGGTGTTTCCCACTGGGCTGTAGGTTCTGTCAGATTGGAGCGCCATGCCCAGGGAGAGTCCTCTGCCACATGCAGACGCTGTAACCCCCTTCACCCCTACAACTATAGTATTTGCCTCTTTTAGATCTTGCGCTTCAGTCGTGGGCGAAGCCTGAGGAAAAGGAGAGAGAGGCTCAAGGAAGAGAGGAGGGCCCAGTCTGTGCCCAGAGATGAGGTGGCACAAAGCAAGGTATGAGGGACTCTCCCAAAGACCCCAGGTGCCCACTCATCTGGGTTCAGGTTGCCTGCTATCTCCTGTCCCGGTCTGTGCATCATTCCAGATCCCGTCTTTGTGTGTATGTTCGTGAGTGGCCTTCATCTGCCCTTTGTGCCACATGTGCTCGCGGCCTTTGTTCCACCGTGGACACACCTATGCCCTGATTTATGCACTACTTTGGTTCTGCAGCTGTGGTGTCCATGTGGTCACCTGGGGCCTTATCAGTATGTAGATTCCCAGGACTCAGCATGGACCTGCTGAAATAGGAGCTCTGGACCGGGAGTGTGTGTGGGGTAACCTGGTCTGTTGAAACAAACTTTGTAGGTGATTCTGAGACCTACTAGGGTAGACTGCTCCTTTGGTTTCTAACTAGGGAATGGACCAAGGCTACTCCAATAGTTTCTGTGTGCATGTCAGAAAAGGATGGCATTGGGCACACCAGGATTGCCTAGTACATGGGCTATGAGCTTCAGCTGGACATTTCTTTGCTCCATTCAGTGCCACTGTGCAGTAAACAATCTGGCAATCTTCGTAAGATTTTTTTGGGTGGAGGCAAGGTCTCACTGTGTAGCCCTGGGTGGTCTGGAACTTGACAGATGACTAAGCTGGCCTTGAACTCATAGAGATCCACCTGCCTCTGCTAAGATTAAAGCCATGTGACATGCCCAGATCTTTGAGAGTTCTTGGCAGGGACCATGAGAGGAGAGACCTTTTATGGACACATAAGCTGTTATTACTAAGCTGAGCCTGGTGCCACACACCTTTAATCCAAGCATCTAACTATGCAGCTGAAAGCATATTCATTTCATACAAATAAAAGCCCAGCTAGCCAGACAGGAGAAGCTGTTGCTGGGCTTACCCTCCATGCAGAAGACCCTGCCATTGGCTAATGTCCTTGTGGGTCCATTATTGGATGAAGTCTTATAAGCAAAAGTATACCCAGCTGGGGTCAGAGGCCAAAGACTCATGTGGATTAATTTGGGGGCTTTTTCCTTTGTAGGGAAGTGTCTCAGCAGGAGACACCCCCAGCAGTGAACAGGCTGTACCCCAAAAAGAGGAAGCTAGAAGAGATTGCCCACCAGCTCCCCAGGAGCCCAGAAAGGATGACAAGAGGAGAAAGTCAAGGCCAGAGGTCAGAGCAATCAGAGGGGAGGGGGACCATGGGGCTGGCTTGGAGGAGGTCTGGGGTGATTTGCCCAGCTAGGACACCATTCCTCTGGAAGGCTGTTTGGGAATGATCCCCCTACACACACACAAAATGGAATCCACTGGCTTTAGACGCAGGAGATGGTGCTCGAGTGTTTCTGAGTACGCTGCTCTGAGGCCCAGAAGCAAGGTGGAGTTCTTTATTTTTTTATTTTTGAGACAGTTATACTGTGTAGCATTGCATGGGAGACGGGAAATGCTTGTCACTCGGGTGAGTGCTGCGGGGCCTTAGGGGTGGTGGCCTTTTTTCCCACAGGTGTCAGCGCTCTCTGACCCCACCCCCGCAGCAGACCAACAGCCTGGACACCAGAGGAGCCTGCATGGTCATCACCACCCCAAAAAGAGCAGACACCGATGTTGGTCCCCCCCGCCCCCGCATGGGTTCAGGGCGTACCAGCTGTACACGCTGTACCGGGGCGAGGACGGGAAAGTGATGCAGGTACCCAGGTGCCGCCCAGGTGCCGCCCGGGTGCCGCCGGGCCAGAGCCCTGCAAGGGCTGCGGGCGGGGGAGGCCTCCGCCTGGCGGTAGATGCCCCCCCCCAGATCTTGACCTAGCAAGGCTCCCCATCCAAACACCGCCCATGTACCCTGCCACGCAGGCCCCTCCCGAAAGTCACTGTCCACAGCGCAGTCTACCATCCTTAGGGACTTCTGTCTGGAGGCCCCAGAGTGCGTGGATTCAAGCCTCTTTAAGAATATACTATGTCTCACCCTCCGAATCTTAGTGCTTTTGGACCCAGAGCTCAACCTATGGGACATCCAAAGCTAGCCTGGGGATAAGTCTGGCCTCTTAAGTCTTCTGCCTCCCATGGTGTCCTGCCATGTGCAGTGGTTGCTCAAGATGATTGTTAAATTTGAAGAAAGAAGGGCTGATTTCTACGTCTCCCCCGCCCCCGTGTGTGTAAAGGAGAGAGAATATTTGTGAGTGTGGTGTATCTGTGTGTATGTATTTGGGTGCATAGTTGTGTGTACAGAAGTCAGAGGGGAAGGTTCTGGGAACACTGAACCATCACTCTTGCCCATTGACCCATCTCTCCAGCCCCCTCATTCCTTTTTCATCACTTCCCAGGCCCCAATAAAGGGCTGTCGCTGCGAACCTCTGATCAGCAAGCTGGAGAACCAGTTGGAGGCGACTGTGGAGGAGATAAAAGCCGAGCTGGGATCAGTGCAGGACAAAGTGAACACAAAGCTGGGACAGATGGAGAGTAAGGCCCAGCACCAGGTAAGCATGCGCTCAGGCCCCTGGTGCTCCGCCGGAAGGAGACAGTGCCCTGAAGACGCTAGGGCTGGCTGTGTGGTGCCTCAGTATTAGAGTCTCAGCTGAGCATGTGCCAGCCTGGGCATATAAAAATAGTTGGGATTATAAAACTTATGTTTTCCTGCCAGGAATAATGGCACATGACTGTAATACTAGCACTTAGGTGGCTGAGTCAGGAGAGTCACAGATTCCAGGACTACTGCGCAACATAGTGAGACTCTGTCTAGGAAGGAAGGAAGGAAGGAAGGAAGGAAGGAAGGAAGGAAGGAAGGAAGGAAGGAAGGAAGGAAGGAAGGAAGGAAGGAAGGAAGGAAAGAAAAAGAAAGAGGGCCATTGGGGCCAGGAAATGGCGGTACAGCACACCTCTAATCCCAGCACTCAGGAGGCAGAGGCAGGCAGATCTCTGAGTTGGAGGCCAGCCTGGTCTGCAGAGTGAGTTCCAGGACAGCCAGGTGTTAGTTATTTTTATAAAACTGTGCCTGTTTCTCAGTTTCTCAGTTTCTCAGTTTCTCCCTTAACCCGGCTATCACACAAATAATCGAGACTCTTCATATTTGCTTAATATTATGCTTCACAACAATAACTGAGCAGTTATTACTCTATTCTTAACCCTCTAACCTAATTTGGCTTCTTCCTAGCATACATCCCAGAGATACTTGCACTTTGTAGCTTTTCTTGCTGAGCTCTCTTCTGGTCCCTCCTGCACATTTGCCCAGGGCTTAATCCTCTACTTTCTCCTCTGATTCTTCCTACCTTGGCTGGAAGGAAGTTCAGCCCTGTTCTCTCCCAAGCTCAGTGACTGGCTATAAGCTGCTTTATGGGCATGTCAGAGGACAATTGGGGAGCAGTGTTTATACAGCATTGAGACAGGAGATTCTCAGAACAGGGACTGCAACCAGATTTGGGGGAGGGGGTATAGAAATCAGCATTTGAATTACACAACAACCTTATGGCTCCAGCCAGGGCTACATAGAGAAACCCTGTCTCTAAAAACCAAAAACAGGGAAATGAAAAGAAAGAAAAGCAATACATTTTCATTACGGAGCATTTTTTTTTTTTAAAGAAAAATAAGCATTACAGAGGAAGGCGAATTATCCACAAGGCTGTGGTGATTAAAAAAAAAACAAAACAGCCCACTATTAATATTTAAGTTTATTTTCTTCATTTGTATTTCTCTGAGATTGGATCTCATGGAGCCGCAGACCCGCTCTGTTGCTGAGGAGGCCTTTGAGCTTCTGATTTTGCACCTGTTTCCTGAATGCTGGGGTTGCAGGTCTGCACTGCCATGCCTGGCCTCATGTACTGGGCACTGGACTCGAGCTGCAAGCCTCTTCAGCAAGCCCCAAACAACCGAGGGCAGCTTTTGTCAGGAAAGCTGTCTACCACGAAGAAGAGCTGAGAGAAGAATGAAGTAATGAATACTTTTATACTCGTATTGAGAGTCAACCAATTTCCTGTTTTTGTTTTAAGAAAAAGGCACACTTTGTGACTCATGTTCCTGAACTCTGAGTGTGGGGCTTGGAAGCAAAGACTTTTGAGTCCCTCTTACTGCCTCACTGTTCTTCTGGAGCTGAGGGAGACTGAGTTGCCTGAGGCACCTCTCAGGACCTCACAGTGGGCCCGGCAGGGATCAGCATGAGATTCACCACATCTAAGAGAAGCAGCAACCTTTGGACAACAGCCCACCCACGTTCAGCCTCCCTCAGTTCCCGAAGCATTTCAGTTAGTTATTTATTCTTCACATTTGTTTATTTTAATCTTTTTGATACGAAGTCTCATGTAGCCCAGGCTGGCCTCAGAGTTCTCAGGCACCACCATGCCTGGCTGTTTGACTTTAATCTCAGTGTAGGACCCTTTGTGCACTTGACTTGGGTTCTGTGGGCTCTTTGTATGGCTCCTTCCAGGTTTCTGTCTCTTCTAAGCACCCACGCTGGTTGTTATAGGGCCCGGCTGCCTTCTGGATTTATTCCTTAGTTTCTTTGTGAGTGTTTAAGTTGGGCCTTCACGCCCATACTTCTGCCAACGGAAAGGTCTGGGACAATGATTTGTGGTTCTGAGCGTGGCGGCAGCGGAGGCTGGGGGGTGAATTCTTAGCCTATTCCTGATCCACAGAATTGACTTGAATCGCCGTGACTGGATTTCTGAGTGAGGACCACAGACCTGTGACTAGCAAGACTCCCAAGTGCTGCTGCTAATGTCTGTGAGGAGCAGTTCAACAGTTACTCAGGTTCCGATTTTACTTCCGCAAGCCTGTGCCGTGGTTAGCAGTGTGAACTCCAGATTAGCTTCCACAGGGAGGCACAGAATGTCAGGGTTACCGTTGCTAAGCGAGGCACTTGTTTTCTTCCTCCGTGAAAGTATGCTTTCCTTGTCATTACTAAGAAATGTGCGATGGGTCAGATTTTTCACGTAAGAGGGCCCACCCCACTGAAGAATGTGATTCCCGGCACCATCCCTGAGCTCTCGCCTCCTCGTCCATTGTCAGCGTGCTTCACAGTGCGACCCTGTGACCGTGTGAGGTGTCGCCTCAGGTGTCAGGCAGAGAGATGGCAATGGGAACTCGCTTCACACTGACTTCATCAACCTGGATTAAAACTTCTGAAGAGTCTGATAACAGGCGGTTTATTTCCAACATATTTAAGCCCAGTATTATTTTGGAAAAAAAGGTTTCCTGGTGTAATATAGTCCCCAGTGCATAAGGACGCATAATTACATCAAAACTCAACTCAGGGTACATGTCATTTCTTCCAAGAAGATGGGTTCTAGAGGCAGGCTACCTGTACTGCCTGAAAGGCCACCTGGTCTTGGTCACACAGATAGCAAGCTCAGGTCCTGGCCGTGAGAGCTTGGGGAGCCCCTGGCTGTAAGTGTCATTTAGCTCACTAGTCACTTCCAGTCCTGGCTGTAGGAGCTTGATACAGCCAGGCCAAGCAGATAATGCAGATTGCTAGGCTAGTTATTGTGGCCATCTTAGCTTTCTGGATGGAAAAACAGGTTTGTTTGTTTTGTTTTTATGTTTTTCCCATTGGAAAGAGAATCCTGTGTCCTTCTGGAGGTTTGTTGGGGCAAAGACCCTCACGCTATGCTCCCAACGCCTGTGTGGGAGTGAGGTTTGTAATCACTTAATTTTATACAGCAGAGCCCTTTCCCATGTCTTTAGCGACATAGTATCTGTCTATTAATATGACATAATTAACTTAAGCACTTTTAATTAGACTTTTTCCCCTACTCTTATGAATAATGTTAGGATGAAGTTTATATATTATTTTTTGGCTATCTCTCAGACTGAAAATGTTTTTACATTTAATTGTGTGTTTGTGTAGAGGTCAGAGGACAGTAAGTGGGAGTTTATCCTTTCCTTTTACTGTGTAAGTCCCAGGTATTGAATTCAGGTTCTCAGACTTGCTGGCAGGTGTCTTTACCTACTGAGTCATCTTGCTGGCCCTTTTCAGACTTGGGCTTATCATTAGGATAACTGGGTCCAAAGTTAATGCTTGAGTCTCTTGACAAATGTTGGTAGATTACCGCATGGAAAGGTTGTGTCAGTTTGCATTATCTGAGTTTCTGTCCCAAATTTTTGCTATCACTTACTATTTTATTTTCTAAAGTTTGCGTTAAATGAAGGATATTTTAGTATTTAAGTTTTATTTCCTTGTTTATGGTGAAGCTGAACTCTTAACTTTTCCACCTCTCCCTTCCTCTTCCTCCCTCTCTCTCTCTCCTGTTCTCTTTCTCTCTCTTTCTCTGTCCCTTCCCTCTTTCAGACAATGTCTCACTTTGTAGTCCTGGTTGGCTAGAACTTGCTATGTGGACTAGGCTGGAACTTTTGGAGACCTGCCTGCCTCTGCGTCCAGCATGCAGGGTAAAGGATGTCCAGTATGTCCACAGGGGCTGCGCATGTTTCAGATTTACTAGCCTCTTGCATTTTATGGAAAGAATATTTGAAAACCTTCAGGTTGTGATGTATAGCCAGTCTGTAGCCCAAACGGCTGTGCCAGGTGAAAGCTGGATTGTGATGGCCTCTTCGTGTGCAGAGGATGGCAGATCAGTGGGTAGGTCATCCCTCTTTCCAAGTGGCCAGGGCAGGGCATGAACCCAGTTGGTGTAAGTCAGGTACCTGGGCCAATGTTGTCATTTCTTTCCTTTTAATTAAGATTTTATTTTTATTTTATGTACATTGATACTTTGCCTTCATATATGTCTGTGTGATAGTGTCAGATTCCCTGGAACTGTGAGCTGCCATGTGGGTGCTGGGAATTGAACCTGGGTCCTCTGGAAGAGCAGACAGTGCTCTTTACATGGAGCCATCTCTCCATCCCCAAATGCTGCCACTTTAAGAGAAGCCCTGCACACTTTGGCTGCTTTGGGTGTGGAGGAGAAGGCATCCTGGGATGTCACAGAGAAACGTGGGACCCCGAGAGACATGGAGAGGAGGCTCACATGCCTTTTCAGGACCTGGTGCAGCCTCCCTGTGGAAGCCGTGTGCATCAACACGGGATGGCTCAGCACTGAGCCCTTGGGGCTGGCCCCTTCTAACCCCAGCTTTGTTCTCTTTATTTTGGACCTTTCAGATCAATGAGCTTGGTCTAGCATAGGAGTGAGGGTCCCACAAGAAGTGTTGGAGGTGTGCTCTCTCTCTCTTTTTTAAGATTTATTTTTATTACTATGTATACAGTATTCTGCCTGCATGCCAGAAGAGGGCGCTAGATCTCATTATTGATGGTTGTGAACTCAGGACCTTTGGGAGAACATCCGTTACTCTTAACCGCTGAGCCATCTCTCCAGCCCCAGTCTTTGACACAGACTCTGCTCCCTTCTCTTGCGTTCTTTGACTGCCTTTAATGAAGCACTAGGAAACATGCTCACTGGGGTTGTAGAGCATTGCTCCGAAGGAGAGCTTTGGCACTTACATGCTAAGGCCTTCCTGATCTGCATCTGCTTCTGTGGTTTGTTTTTGTGAACTTGTGGTCTATTAATCACTTAGGCCTTTCGATGAGTGAGGACAGCAGTGGCCTTACAAGAAGTGTGTGCAGGAGTTCTGAAAAGCTAGGATTTTGTACTGTGAAGCGAGGGTGGAAGGGGAGCTAAAGTCCCTTTCTTGCTCTGTGGACTCTCCTCATTTCAGCATGTGTTCTGTTTCCTTGAACCCTAGATGTGTGTTTTGGATAAACTGATGGTGGAACGGCTGTCAGCGGAGAGAACAGACTGCCTGAATCGCCTGCAACAGCATGCCGCTGCTGAGAAGCAGGAGAGAGAGAAGCAGCAGGTAAGAAGAACCAGCGTCTGTCAGCCCACCACTGATCAGTCACCACATCTCCCGAGCTGGATGCAAAGCCAGATCTCCCTAGCTGGTCTAGGATGCAAAGGCAGAGGCTGAGAGCATGAAGACCATTTGCACTTCACAGCCTCTTATGTTAGCAAGGAGCATGGTGTCCTATGTGAGCCTGTGGCCAAGCCTGCTGGACAGTACACGGGGAGGGCCATTTTTCCCTGGATTGTCTGTTCATCAGTTTCCCTTCAGGAGTCACTGCTTTTCCAGGTCAGCAGAAATGAGGTGAGCGCTGGTGAGTTTGTGAGAGCAGCCAAAACACCTGGCTGGAAGATTTGCAAGCTGTTTTGGCTTTTGAGTTCTGGGTGACTCATAACCTTGGTTCAGTGACCTGTGGGAGGATGAATAATCCTAACTTTTACATGTGCCAATTGTAACCTCAAGTGTCATAATTTAAAGTCATTCTTGGGGACTAGAGAGTTGGCTTAGTTGGTCCCGAGTTGGCTGGGTTGCTCACGGCGGCCTGTAACTCCAGTTCCAAGGTACCTGATTCGCTGTTCTAACCTCCAGGGCTACATCTTGCACATTCACCCAAACACTCACAGATTTTTATGGGGTGGTGGGGTGAAGACGTGCATGCACACGTGAGATGCTCAGGACAGTTAGTGGATGTCAGTTCTCTCCTACCATGTAAGTTCTGGGAATTGAACTGCGCTCTTTGGATTTGGCAGCAATCATTTTCAACTGCTGGGCCACCTTAACAGCTCATAAAATAAATCTTTTAAATACAAATTTATTTTTCCCAAGACAGGGTTTCTCTGTGTAACCTTTGCTGTCCTGGACTCATTTTGTAGACCAGGCTGGCCTCGAACTCACAGAGATCCATCTGCCTCCCGAGTTCTGGGATTACAGGCTTGTGCCACCACGCCCAGCTCTAATGAAATTGTTTTAAAAGATTATTTTATTCATTTATGTGTATGGGAGTTTTGTCTGCATGTGTATCTTTGTACCCTGTGGGTGCCTGGTGCCCTTAGATCCCCAGGGATTAGAGTTACAGACTGTAAACTGGTTGTGAGCTGACATGTGGATACTGGGACTAGAACTCAGGTCCTCTGGAAGAGGTCTCCTCTTAGCCACTGAACCATCTCTCCAGTCCCTCCACCCCCAAACTTTATTCTTGCTGCTTTAATTCACAAACCTTATCGCACGATGCTCACTGTGTTGTTTGTTCTTAGATGTCCCTGGTGGATGAATTAAAAGCCTGGTGTATGATGAAGATCCAGACTCTGGAACTGAGGCTTTCTGGAGAGTCTCGGACCTTTAAAGCTAAACCCGCACCATCTCCTTGTGACTCTTCTCCAGGTAACACATGCACAGGAGGCCTGTCAGACAGCAATATCCTCACCCTTCCTGATCTGAACATTGTCCACACTCCAGAGCCGCAGCAACCACAGTGAGGCTCAAGTGTTAGGAAGCAAGAAGTATCCAGACGTGAGAGGGAGGGATAGAATAAGGGATATTGACGGGTGTTCTGGTGTGTGTAAACACCAGGACCAAAAGCAGCCTGGGGAGGAAAGGCTTTATTTGTCTTAAACATCCAGGTCACACGCCATCACTGAGGGAAGTCAGGGCAGGAACCTGGAGGCAGGAATTGCTGCTGACCTGCATGTTCTTGATAGTTTGCTCAGCTTGCTTTCTTACGCACCCAGGGTCACTTGCCCCAGGACAACAGTACCCCTCATGGGTTGGCCTCTCACGTGGACCATTAATGAAGAAAATGCTTCCACAGACTTGCCTATAGACAATCTGAAGGATGCATTTTTCAGTTAAGGTTCGCCTGCCCAGATGACCCTAGCTTCTGTCAAGCTGACAAAAACCAACCAGGACCAAGGGGCTCAGTGGATCTGAAGATGAGGAGTGATAAAGGACTGACTTTCCCCTGGGCAGGCCTTTCCCCTCTTTGCTCCTAGTCAGTGGCCTCTTGCCTTTACCTAAACCTACAAAGCTTTTGTAAGCAGTCATCAGTGTCCTGAACTTGTCCTAGGCGTTAAGACATGGTTTAAATGATGACTCTTTAGCTGCAGTGAGTACTTGATTTTAAAACTATCATATGTTCATTGTACAAAACAATGGTTTCATTGAATTTCTACACATGTCCATCACCCCTAACTACCCCCAGGTACCCCTACTTCTGTGAATTCCTTTCCTGTTCCCAAATAGCCCCTCTTCTATTTTATTGCTTTTGAAAGTCTAGATTCTAGTTGGACATGGTGAAACAAGCCTTTAATCCCAGCACTTAGGAGGCAGAGGCAGGTGGATCACTGAGTTCAAAGCCAGCCTGATCCACAAAGTGAGTTCAAGACAATCGGGACTACATATAGAGAGACCTTGTTTAAAAAAAAAAAAAAATCTAGATTCTGATTCTAAGGAAAAGATATGCACCGCCTTTCCTTCTGAGTCTGGGTTGCTTCACTTACTACGATGACCTCAGGTTCTAGCCATTTTTCTGCAAATGCTGTAATTTTCCTTTATGGCTGAATCAAACTCCATTGTGTGTATAAACCATATTTTCTTTAGATGGTAATTCTAAAGATGCTAAAGCTAGGTAATTAGGTCCTACTGGGGAGCTTTGATAGGGCAGGTGCTTAATATAGCCTTATCTGTCTACATGGCTTTATTTTTGTGCCGACATGTTAAGAAACACCTTGAGCTGCCTTTTCATGCTGGGACTAACAATGGAACTGCTTGTGGCGAATGGAACGTGGGCTGAGGAGGTGGGTGGAGAGCGCGGCTTGCCTTCCTTCCTTTCTGCTCTTGTCGTAACCCTAAAATCGCTCCTAGAAAAAGAGCTGCCTGCGGGGTGTGATGGCACATGCCTTTGGTCTCAGCATTTAGGAGGCGACACCAGACATCTAGCCTATATGCCATTCCTGTGCTAACAAGAATGCAAGAAAATCCTGATGAGCTAAGATGAGAGACCTGTAGACAAAGTGGAAGGGCGGGGAAAAAGGGGAAGGAATGGATAGGTGGGTGAATGGTGCCCAGAAAGGTAGAGAAGTCTGTGGGTGGATGGTGCCTGGAAGGCCGAGGTTCTCAGGACCCCAGGACTCTCAGCTGAATGAGTCCCTCAGTTCTGTGGCTGAGTGTGGATGTGCTCTGACATTTGTTTCCCCTTTGAAAGCAGCTGTAGATCCACCAGTGATAGCTGCAGGACCAGCAGCAGCAGCTTCCAACAGCTCCTCTCAGGTTGTGAGGCCCAAGGACAAGGGAGTCAATGCCACTGCTGCCGACAGACAGCAGCAGGAGCTACTTCCCTCGGACTGCGCAGGCTCCCGCTTGAGGAAGGTCAAGGCCCCTGCAGCCTCAGGCTCCTTGAATGAGGCTCCCAGGGGTGAGCAGCAGACTGCGTCCTGTGTCACCAGAGGCACTCAAACCAAGAAGACTGGGAGAAGTGGGCAGACCAAGCACCGAGGCCAGCGGCCAACAGCTGGTAGCCCCTGTGGGCAGCAGCCATCAGCGACAGGCAGTGATGCGCGAGATGCCTCGCAAGCCCTGGAGCTAACCCAGTATTTTTTTGAGGCGGTTTCTACCCAGATGGAAAAGTGGTATGAACGAAAAATCGAAGAAGCACGAAGCCAAGCCAGTCAGAAGGCCCAGCAAGATGAGGCCACACTGAAGGAGCACATCCGAAGTCTGGAAGAAGAGCTTGCCAAGCTGCGGACAAAGGTGAAGTAAAACCCAGACCCCGAGGGGGAGCCAAGAGCAAAGCAACTGTGTACCAGGAGCTGGCCATGCACCTGGGGACTTGCCTCTAACAGCCACTCATCTGTTGGGGACACACTCTTCCCGTGCTCTGCTGTTACCAGGGCTTCACTAGTAACAGCGAATCCCGGGAAGACGCTCATAAAAAGCCACACCAAGAAGAGGTGTGTGCCTAAGTCTAGGATTTCGTGTTATGAAGTATGTCAGGGACAAAGGCTGTAGTCACTCATCTCCAACACGCCTGCTGTGCCTAGAAGGTTCTAGCAGAGCCGGGACTCAGGCGGGAAGCCCTGTTTCTCCCTTGTAACTCTCAAAATGCTCATCTTTTAACTGGAGGAAAAGCCTTCAGATCTTGAGAGGAAATCCATTTTAATAACCTCGGGGTCCAGTATGTCTTAAAATAACTTAAAAGGTCATGGTTATAAGGAGTAATTGCTCACTAATGTTTGCCAAATGAGGAAAAGTTTAAACCACTGACCAGTTACTGTGTGCTTAGTTAAAATAACTGAGATTAATGGAAAAAAATTCACCCAACAATTCCAGCCACTTACCTTAGACTACCTTTCTGGACTTTTTGTCCTATATTTTGTAAAGAAACAGTTTAGAAGGCAGTTCCACAAAACTGTAATTATGAATTGACTTCACTCATTGAAGAACCTCAAGGTGAATAATTAACTAAGGACGTCATAAATCTTTACTTGTTTATTGAATAAAATGTACCAACCAGACTGAGGTGGTGAAGATATCTTGGTTGAGACCTTGGATTTGTCTTCTAATCCTTTGCAACACGAATTATATTCATCTCCACATGATCCACGTAGGCTCAGAGAAACAAGTTTCTCTGCATAATAACCTAATAACTGCTGTCCACGAATTGTGACTAAAATGCTATTCACTGAGCCAGAGAAGTGACGGTCTCTCCGCTCTGGTATGCATTTATCCCTTTGTCAAGCCAAGGTCTTGCTCCGTGGATACAGATTTTCCTGTAAAAGTAACAGGGTAAACATTGTAAGTACAGAACCCAGTGAGTCATTACTTTATGTGACTGACCTGTCTTTATCCTCAGCATCTTGGGAGATGCAACCCTTTCCCAGTCTCCTTCACTGGAGACTGTCCTCACTTGCCTGAGCCCTGCTGTGATACTACCCGAAAAAAAAAGGTCACTCTTGTATGATCGTTGCTTATTATACAGCAAGTTATTGGAACTGCCTAATACTAAGTAAGAGATGAAACCCCAAGTTCAAGTTCTGCTCCAAGCAGAAGTTCATTTCATTATTAGAATACGTATTACCTCACACTATCCTTGTTGAGAAATGCAGAGATCAACTGTAATTGAACATCCATCAAGTCTAGACCACAGAATATCTTGGTGGCAGTACTTTGATGATATACCTCCTACCTATCAGAAGCAGGCAGCTTATCACTGTGAATGGATAGTTTTGTCACGTCATCAAGCATAAAAATCAGGCTATTGAGTAAGAGCAATCAGCCCTTTACCCACAGGGTTGACTTCCTAAGTGGTGGTTGGTTTGTTTTGGAAGGGTTTACTGTGTATCAGAGACTGGCTTTGAACTCATGATCTTTGTCTCAGCTTCCTGAGTTCTGGGATTACAGAGTGAGCCCATGGCCAATCATGTTTTGTCTGTGACACCAGTGTTAGGTTTGTTGCAACTGTTCCTTAGCATTGTGAAGCACGCAGAGCTGGTGTGTACTTTCCCCTTGTGCTATGTGCAAAAACAAGCAAATATCCCAGCTGTACTTTTACAACTAACTGTTCATCCTACATACTCTCAAGCAGGCCAGGTTTCCAACTGAGGCCTGAAGAGGGTCAGCAGCTGTGGAAACACGCTATGAAGCAGCAAAGTGTACACGATGAATGTCCTTAAAAACAAGTAACTGTATACTAAATGTCTGTGATGGGGTCAGTGTGTTAGTCCTGGCATCACTTTTGATTTGTGCAGTCCAAATACAGGCTTTTCATGTTTAGGTTTTTCTTGGTGAAAAGACATGCTGTCTAATTGTTTTATTACCTTGAACTTGTGTCCCTGCAAGCATTAAACATTGTTTTCATTCTGTCAGTATTCTACTCTTAATAGTCATTTGTTCTGTTGACCGCACTTGAGAATTCCTAGAGCCTGCACCCAGCCACTTTTACTTAGAGCAAATGCATCCAGTTTAAAGTCAACGTCAACACAAGGTGGCTGCAATCTGTGTCTGTGGGAAAACCCTTTAAGGTTAAGGCAAGCATATTAAATCCACAAGGTGCAAGACAGGGTAGCACCTTAAAAAAAATGCCTGATTTTTAAAATAACCACGAATGGTAAATAATCAGAGCTTATTTTAATTGCATGCGTGAGGGTATGTATGTTTGAGCACAGGTACCTGCTGGGCGCTGAATCCCCTGGCGCTGCAGGAACAGGCAGTTGTGAGCTGCCCCATGTATGAGACCTGAACTCTTGTCCTCTTCAAGAATACACTCTTAACTGTTGAGCCCTCTCTCAACATCCACATTTAACGTGAATATAGTTTCTCAAAATCCTGTGACATCGGATTTGTTAGGATGACAATTGGTCTTTTATGTCTTTGGGTCTGATTCTCTATAATCCTTTTCCGAGGCAGGCATGGGCTGCTGCTGTTTGTAGTGGCCTTTTCCTTGGTCACTCTGGGCTTTGTCTCCCAAAAGCACTGCTGGGGTAGCTACAGTAAGGCTTCCGCCCCCTCCGCTGGCAGCACTGTTCAGGTGCACCCACAGGTTAGGAGTCTGAAATGGGCAACCTGCTTGCACTTTTTGCCTTTTCTGCCTCCTGAATACTATGATTACAGGTGTGCCTTTACACAACAGGACTGTTGTTAGTTCACAAGCATGAAGTCAATTATTCAAACGTGAAATTCTAGGAACAAGTTTGACATTTAAGCAGAACATCCTACAGAAGATAACCAGGTAATCCACATAAAATAATCTCGTGAGAAATAAAACCTCACCAGCAGTGCCGTCTGGCCAACATGTTGACTGTGGTCCTGTACCCAAGGAAAACAATAATAAATGAACCTCCTCATGACTCAGGTTCAATTCTCAGCACCACATGGCAGCTCCAAGGGACCTGTCACCCTCACTCAGACATACATTCAGGTACAACATCAATGAACATAAAGTAGATAAATCATTAAAAAAAGAAAAGGCCAAACAAGACTTGGCCAAAGCCAAAGAGGCTAATTGCTCCGGAATGAGCAAAGCAGAACTGTCCTCAGAGAAGGGAGAGGAGGTGTTACAGTTACCTTTTACTTTGAACACAGTTCCATCCTAAGTGTCTTTCTTACCTGCTTTAAAAATGACTATGCAGGTTGTGGTGGTATACACCTTTAATTCTGCACTTGGCAGGGGTAAGAGGATCTGAGTTCAGGCCCAGCCAGACCTATGTAGTAAGCTCAGAAAAGCAAAATCCACCTCGGCTTGCCTTGGGACTGACAGCTGTACGTCTTTTCTAATTCTCTGCACGCTGTTAGACCACCAGGCCATCACTGCTCACATAATGAGTGTTAGGTTTGAAGATTTTAGACTTCGTGGGGTCCGTATTTGAATTTTCATGTCAAGCAGACCAAGGGAACTATTTAGTCGTCTCTCTTCAAGACTGTCCGTACAAAGCACGGTGGCTCACACCTACAGTCCTGGCTCTTGGAAGGAGACTCTATTTAAGAACAAAACAAAAATCCAAACTGTTCACAAATGCTTGTCAGGTATTTTTGCATAGGCTGTAGATTGTAAAAACCAAATAAAATTGGCTTATAAAATTCTGGCCAGGGAGTCGTGGCACTTGGAGGGCAGAGATAGGTGAACCTCTGAGTTCAGGGATAGCCTGGTTTACAAAGTAAGTTACAGAATAGGCAGGGCTACACAGAGAAAGCCTGTCTCAAAAAACCAACCAAACAAGTAAACAAACAAACAAACAAAAAAACATTTCGCAGTAGCTCACTCTCTGCAAAGCTATGCAGGGGACCGTGAGGCTCCAGGACCTGGTGTTGGGCTCTGGAAACAAGCACATTTTGTACCATTTTTCAGGCACCCAGTACAGGATATTGGTCAGGTTCCCAGTTTGGCTTCTCTGTTCTGTTGATGGGACATGGACTTTTGCTTGCAGGATAACTTTAGAATCGATAACAATCTTTCACATAGTTCACCAGATTGTGTATAAATTTTATCTCAAGTGTTCTGATGGCAACTCTGACAGATTTTTCTTTTCCCAGTTTGCGGGAAAACAGTGTACAATTATCTTCCATGATGACTCAGTGCCGCATGAGGTGTTAGGTGCAGGAGTTGGACCGCCCGGGCTTCCCTCCTCTTTTTGGTGTCTCGATGTCCTCATTTACTTCCAACAAAGCTCCAAATGCTCTGCGGTCTTAGTCCTTTGGCTATAAATGTGACACAGTGAAGAGTCACTTCACAACTCTGAAGGGCATAGCAGGTTCTTCAAGAAAGAGCAGTGGTTCTTATAGAGTAGTGGTTGTCAACCTTCCAAATGCTGGGTCCCTCTAATGCAGTTCCTCATGTTATGGTGACTCCCAAGCCTAAAGTTCTTTCATTGCTGCTTCATTGTAATTTGGCTAGTTTTGAATTGGGGTGCAGACATCTGATATGCAGGGTTATCTGTCTGACGTGTGACACCTTGTACAAGAATAGTGTGGTCCCAAAGCCTGAGCACTGCTTTCCTAAGAGTGTCTCCCTAGAGTTAGTACACTGCCATTCCTTTTTTTTCAATAGCTTGAGACACAGGGATCACAACATACCCCACTCTTACAGTTTGAGGTGGTGCACATCTTAAAACTAGCACTTGAGAGGCAGAGGTAGGTGGATCTCTGAGTTCAAGTCCAGCCTGGTCTACAAAGTGAGTTCTAGGACAGCCAAGGCTACAGAGAAACCCTGTCTTTAAAAAAAGAAGGCTGAACTTTGTAATGCCCTGTTATTAGAGACTTGCTGAGGTGTGAGGTAACTCCACATCACCTCTTCCATTTTAAGGACATTCACTCATTGTTTTGGTCTATGTACCACAGTGCCTGTGTGGAAAGTGAAGGACAACTTTCCAGAGTGGTTTTCTCCTTCTACCACGTGGGTCCCAGGATCACACTCGGGCTGTTGGTAGCAAAAGCCTTAATGGTGGAACCATCTCACCCACCCCATCCTCACAGTCTTTTCAAGATCTGTTTTTTTTTTTAAGTTGTTGCCTTTTAACCTTCACACAAGCAATGCACGGTTCCAAGCTCTCATCTTGTCGATAGTTCATCTTTTAATTACAGCAGCTTCGTGCAAATGTTTACACTGCAATGGAGATGTTAACACCTTAGTTTGCATTCATGATTGGAGGGAGCACTTTTTCATGTGCATCTGGAACTTTGTGACAGTGGCTTTGAGCCTGTGTAAAACACATGGAGATCTGAAAAAGAATCCTTCAGTTACGATTTGGCTAAAGCGAGTGTCCTTTCCAGCTCCTTTAGCTGCACATTGCCTTGAGTGATCATCATCCGGATGGCAGCCTGTGGAAGACAGGGGAAACCAGTCACTGTTTCACCAGGTTAGCCGCGGCGCACGGCTAACATCTCATCTACTACACTCAACTATCACCGGTGGCTAGTTACAGCTGCGGGCTGACGAGGCCCGAGGCTCTACATTCAATCACTACACCGAAAGAACCCCCAGCCGAAAAGCAGTAAAATAGAAAGCCAGACACAGTACACAGCCAGATGCTGCTGCATAACAAATTCAAAACAGCAGTGATCAAAAATGAGCCACCTTCGCGAAACTTTCCAAGTTCAACAACACAGCAGGACGAAGGAGACGGGCCCAGCGTGGCCCGCCCTTACCTCTTCCGTGGCACTTTTGTTTCGTTTAAATTCTTCCCTGGCCCAGTCCTGGAGGTACTTTCGGTCAGAATCACTCGGAACTTGCCTAACCGCTCGCAAGATCTTTCTGTACAGGAGGAGAACCTGTTGCCTCCTCATGAACTGCTCAGGGAAGGAGAAACACAAGTTACAACTGCAGACTGCCGGCTCCAACCCCGCAAACAAGAACCAGGGACGCCCCTTTGGGCCTCCACGGGGAACAGAACAAGACTAGAACCAACGTTCGCCCGGAGGTTCGCACGGCTAGGGCACAGCTATCGCCCGCCCTCGGGAGGCTGAGGCCGCGAGACGACAGGAGCCAGCGGAGCTACTGCCGCAGGCGCCGCCAGCCTCGCCTGCATCAGCGCAGTTAGGACTACGCGGGACTGCTCGAGGCGGGCGCCGGGGGACCTGCAGGTTTAGGAGAACCGCAGATACCTGCTTCAACGTCAGCGCCGCCGGAGGTAAGCGGGAAGCCGCCATATTGCCCGCGGTGGCAGCGGCCTGGTGCGCAGGAGCGGAAGTGGGCCGGACTGCCTGGACACGGAAGCGGAAGTAGGGGTGGGCGAACCTGGTTCCTAGGGATGAAATCTGGAGGGCGTGTTTTCGCTGTTAGCTGAGGGAAGCAACCTGTCCCGTAGGAGCATTACGGGAACGGAGAGAGTGTGTGCGCTTTGAGATCCCTTGATGTGCATAACTGAGAAGACCGACATTACACTAGTAACTTCAATTTGCACCCTGCAAGCTTTTCTTTTTCTCTAAGCCTTGTTCTCCAGCGGGTCGTCACCGCGCGAGATCCTTCAGGCACCCTGCGCTTTCCTTCTACTCATGGGGCCTCTCCCTTTTTTTGTATTTGTCCCCAACACCACACACCCAGAAGTCGGGTTAGTGAATCTCTATGGGACTATTTTCCAAGTCGTACTGTTTGGAATTAACGTCGAACCAAAGATGTCCAGCTATGTGGTACTGAGCGTCTACTAGATTGCTTCACTATTGTAATCTAAATGCTTGCTTGACCTTTCCAGCTGTGTCCGACTGACTCCCCGTGACGGTGTCATCTCTGAACGGCACAGCGAAACAGCCTCCGCAGTGTATCCGTATGTAGCTGCTCAGAACAGCTCAGGCATTGTGATTCTTAACCCCGTGTGCTTCAGGGGAACCTGAGCACATTTGTTTTGACTATGCAACCAGCAGGTATTTTGGTTATGTATCTGAGCCATGGAAAGTCCCAAATGTGCTGCCAAGGTGGACATGACTGTTGGGGGGGGGGGGGGGTTTAAGGGACTAAAAATGTGTCTGAGCACACACAAAACGGAATAAGACTAAGATCAGGACAAGGAGGCCTTGCCATTAGTCACTTCATTTCTCATTCGTTTTAGTTACTTTTAAATCTTTGGTTTCTATGGAGGGGCACATCCTGGTTCCTCAGGGTCATTAGATCCAGAGGGAGGAGACAAGGACCTGTGAGCCTATGAGTAAGGTGTCAGCCATGGATTCCAATCAACCCAGCTTTGGAAAGAGGGATCACTGGCCTTTTTAGTCATTTGTAAGAGCTAACTGGTTTTTGGATGCATAGTTAGGAATAACTCAATATATAAATCAGATAATTTTTTACAAAGCTATGACTTTTAGATATGTCCTTGGGGGTAGCCCTGTAGGAAACATCATGGCAATATTATCAAGAGTCCAAAGGGAGGAAGGGGATCATGACCCCCATCTCCACAGCTCACTCATTCTGAGCCTTAGTTTCCGCCACGTGTGCACACTGGCTTCCGGCTTTGTAGTCAGAGCAGGTGGAGAGCTGGTCTCTGGAGGGTGAGGCTGTTCTGGGTGAACCTTCACAGTCAGGGCTTCTTCTCAGGCAGTGCTTTCTTCACCTGGATGTGGTGGCTCCATGGGACGACACCTGTCACAGTGTGTAGATGACTGTCCATAGTGTAGCCATAGCGGACTGGTCCTGGGGCAGAGCCTCTTTTATATTCTAAAACACTCTTGGGAACTTTTTTCAGAATCATGTAAACATCACTCTTAGGGGAAAAACAAAACCCTAATTCCAAGGCTAAGAGGAGAATTGGAAGCCAGGGTAAAGGGCAGGGCCAATCCAGCTAGCTTGCAGGTACCAAGTTGTGGGCAGGCTTAGGAAGGTACAAGGGCCTTCTGCCCACTGCATCCTGTCAGTTTTGGAGTTATTGAGGGGAGAGTAATTTGTCTCTTGTTTGAAGAACCCTGTCATGTGAAACATGAGGAGTAATTAATCTTCTCTTACAGATGGCTTTTCCTGGTCTGGCCTACACACACATTGGAGACTGGAGCAGCAGACTTCTGGAGTCTTACTTCCCATGCATCTTTGACCTGTAACAAGGCTAGCATGCAATCCTCTGATGGGGTCTGTGTCCCATCTAAGGGAACTACTTAAGCCAGGGGATGTCCTGCCATTCAAGAGTACTGTAAATTTAACACATTTTACTAAGTCTTAACATTTAATTTTATCATACAGAACCCATCCTTACTAAACATGTTTTAAAATCCTTTTTATAAAAAAAAATAACCTCATACTTTATCATCCTCATTAACATTTTTATCTTACCATGCTTTTAAAAAATTTCATGTCCTTAAAGAGTTGAATCCAAATTACATTCAAGGCATGTGGTGGCTTGAATAAGAATGAGCGTAGTCGCCAGGGAGTGGCACTAGAGTCAGGTGTGGCCTTGTTGGAGGAAGTGTGACTCTAGGGGTGGGCTTCAAGGCTTTAAAGGCTGATGGCCCAGTTCGTTTTCTCCCGCTGCCTGTAGATCAGGATGTTCAACCAAGCTACTTCCAGTTGTTTTGAAAACAAAATCCCACTCATTCCTTTTTTTTTTTTTTTTTTAACTGTTAAAGACTCAGGAGCCAGATGCAGGAGTGAAAACCTGCAGCTCAGAGAGGCAGAGAAAGCACCTGACTTATCTACTCACCAGTGTCCTAGAAGGAAAGCCACAGGCTTAAACACCCTTCAACTCAAAGCCCTCCTGTTACTCCGTCAGCTGGTTTCTTGCCCCACCTCTTGACCTAGGGTTAACTTTAATCTTTTTTACAGAAAGCTCTTGGAGTAAAGGTGTGTGCTAGGGCTGAGACACAAGAAACAGGGTGGTTTGTTGTTTTTTTTTTTTTTTTCCTGTTCAAAATCTTAGGGTTGATCCCTCAGGTGCTCCCCCATCCTGCCTTCAGCAACTCTGCACCAGCCACCAAAATATGGCAGTCATAACTTTAAGAGGCCCCACCATCACGGCCTGTTCATTCTTTTCTGTCTCTCCATGTGTCTCTTCTCTCTCAAGAGGCTTTTCACCCCCTCCCTGATCTCTGCAGCGTACCTTGGCCCTATCCACCAAGGTATCCCAGGTACCCTTCCACAACAAAACCCTAACATTGGTGCCATATGACTCGGATATCTTGGTACCTGCATATACTGCCCTGGGGAAAGTCCAGACTACCTTAGACTTATCCCTTATCTCCAGTCCACCTGCAACAGAGACACTTTCTAGCTTCCCGATTGCTGGGCACCCCATCCCATAGGGGCAATCATTAGGTTTTCCCTCTGTTCAGGTAACCACCACGCAGCAAGTGTTGAGCATCCAGCACACCTCTGGTATTTTCAGAGATAGAGATAGCCCCAGCCCCAGTCTTTAAGGCTACAATTGACCCTTTCCCTTGAGTGAGGCTTTGTTTTTGAGCCCAGTTTTCGCCTTTGTGCTTCATTCAAAAGTCCTGGTACCAGAGACAGCGTCTCCTTGGACTCTTCGCCCTGACCCCTGTCCGCGTAGTGACCATCCACTCAACAGTTTGTTTTCCTTGTTTGGTCCCTGGGTCCTGGGGAGACCTGGACTTCAGGCCCTGGACTTTGCCCTCTTCCTCACCCAAGGGAACAGTGGGGCCTCTTCATCTAGCACCTGGCCTAAGGGCCTCTAAACTTAATACTTTTGCAGTCAAATCTGGCCTCAATACCCTTAGAAAATCAATCAAAATGGCTGTCCAGTGGCCTCTACAACTACTGCCAGCCACTGGGGAAATAGAAATTTCCCCATTCCTTATTTTTTCCCTCTGATCCAAGCCCTGTTCTTACCTGGTCTCCCCAACAGTGTATAAATGTGCTGCCTTTTAAGTTATGGTTGATGGCTGTAGTCCGCTGCCAGAGCAGGACAGCCACAGCTTGCACACACCCGCAGCAGGCCCCTGCAGGTGTGTATGGATCATTTGTTTGTGACTTTGACTCCGGTTTCTGGAGTCTGATTCTTTATCTTTAGGGGCTGCTCCCCCCCACCTCCAGTCTGTTCAGCTGAGCCCTCCGAGTGGACCCTCAAGACCTTCTCTGGCTCCCCTCTTGACCCCCCAGGACCTGCAGCCTGCGACTTTTCTTTCTTGTCCCCTCCAGGTGGACAGCTTTCTCTGCTCTGGCCTTGTGTCCCTGTATGGGTCTCTTCCCCTGCACTTCCCTGGCCATCCCTGACTCCAGGCTGCAATTCCACAGCTTCAGCTCTCTCTTGCAACGTATAGGAACACACCTGTGTGATGTTTCATTTTGCAACTCTTTCTCTTCCACCACAGACTCAGATTTTATTACAACGGTCTGGCCATAGTAAAAAAACAAAAACACAAAACAATACAAAAAACAGTGGGCAAAAAACTGGCCAACAAGGCAAATTTTTACAAATTGTAACAATTGCTGCTACATAGACAGGATCCCAAATATCTTCTCCAAACTTGCTCTACACTTTCTTCAGTGGCCCCCGCCCCAGCAGGGTTTCTCTGAGCAGCCTTGGCTGTCCCAGAACTCTAGATCAGCCTCGAATGCACAAAGATCTCCCTGCTTCTGCCGCCCAAGTGTGCAAATCAAAGGCATGTGCCGTCACTGCCTGGCCTACTTTCCACTCAGTCTTCTACCTCTACGATTTCTCTGTGCTGTGCTCTCAAAAAAGTATTTTAAGGTTATGCTGTAAACTATCTCAGGATTTGTAAGTTGCTCATTAGTATTAATAAAACCTGTAACAAAATTTGGCTTTAAATTTCTAACAAAAGGCTTATAACTTAAAAAATATATGTGCTTCAGCTCTAGTTTAGGACATACACGTGTAGATTCAACTCTGTATGCGTGTATGGAACTTGGATCCAACTCTCAGTGATTAAAAATACACAGATAGACCAAGAAAACAGGTGTTTTGAAATAGCAGCAATGCAGCTCTCCCCTCTCTTGGCTGATGACCTCATCAAGCTGTAAGCAGCCACATGACTGGGAGCCATCTTTTTTACTACAGTTAAAGAGTGAATACCGTGTAACCTCACCACCTTCAGACAACCACATGGCACAGAACAATTGCAAAACCTGTTTACCATGTGTCTCCTTTTTAGGCTACGGAAGCAACACCAAGTCTCAAGTATTTTGGATTGGTATGGATTTGTTTGATAAAAACTTAAGGTTTATATTCACTACAACATACTGTATATGTGATTCAACTCTGGTTCAGAATATATTGTATATGATGAAAAAAGATTT